CCTTCTATGTTGACATTACATTTCACAATGATTACATACTTTAGTTAACTGTCCTGCCAAGTGCTGGGGAAGGATTACTTTCTATACACAAAAAATAGATTTTCATTCAAGCTTTGAACTGATAGGATGCCTTTTCTCCTGTTCCCTGTAGAAGACGAATATACTGATTTTGTGTGCATGAGTAACTCTAGCCTCACTGCTTCTAGTAAGCCTACTTCGGAATATCTTACAATGAGCAGCGTCAGTTTGCCCTCGCCTGTGAATAAGAATTCTACCCTTTTGGATATCACAATAGATAAACAATAGAGAGTGACAGTAGCCAAACATGTGGTGAGCTTGCTGCACACTTTGAGGTATCTGATCAAATGATCAAACTCCATTTGCACTGTATAGGAAACACATACAAACTGAGCAAGTGGGTACTCCACTCACTGTCTGATGCAAACAAGCAACAGCGTGTCACTGCCAGGTTTCGTTGCTTTCTCGGCACCACAATGCATCCATATTTGATTGAGTACTCACAAGCACTGAAAAGTGGGTCCAGTATGACGCACCCGGTGTTCCAGACATTGGTTGTCACCACGAGTCCCTGTACCTCACACTGCGAGACCATCTCTCGACCCACGCAAAATTATGCTCTTTATCTGATGGACTAGTCACCAAGTGGTGCACTATGAGCTTCTGCCAGTGTTCCAAACCATCACGACAGGTCTGTAGGCTCAACAGTTGGAACATGTGCATCAGGCACTGATGCATAAAGAGTCAGCATTGGCCAATTATAATAGCGTACTCCTCCTCTATGGCAGTGTGAGGCGGCATGTGGCTCGGGAGGCCAGGAACACCATCCAGCAACTGGGCTGGGAGACACTATCCCACCCACCATACTCTCCAGACCTCGTGCCAACAGACTACCACCTTTTCCATTACCTGGACAACCATCTTCGTGGGAAATCGTTTAACAACTGGCCAGACTTCAAAAAGGCCCTCACATATTTCTTTGTGTTCAAAACTCCTGAGTTTAACAGCTACTAGCAGCTTTAAAGGGATGAAACGCTACAAACGAACGCGAACAGGCAGCTAGGTGACGGAGAAAAGAAAAAACTTTGTAAGAATACAAGCGGAGAACGTTATCCCAGCTTGCGCATGTGCTAAGTTCAGTATGTGCTACTCCAATGGAATCTACGGATTCAACAGATTTGTATCTGCATCTACTGCGCCTGTGTTAGGTTAAGTCAAGTTGAGTCAACTATTGTGTCTGTGACATGTGTATTGTGTATTCTGACCTGTCCAGAAACCTCTTGAAACTAATCCATTTTTAATTGCCCGTTCAAACCGAATAGGATTCAGTGATATTACAAACGTAAAAACGTTATATATATTATATTACATTATTTCTAAATAATTAAATCGATTATAGTGAACCCCACTATGTCAAAAAAACGACAATGGAACGATAAGTATGCCAGTTATGGATTGGATTTACCTGCACAACTGAAAAAGATGGCACACAACGACCACAATGCATCTTGTGTTCCAAGATATTTTCAAACAGCAATCTCAAACCATCAAAGTTATTAGAGCATTTCAACAATCTGCGTGGTGGCGAAAAAGCGCATAGCATGAACAGCTTGGAAGTCAAAGAAGGCTCGGTTTTGATACCAGTGGAACTATATCCTAAAATTATGCAGACGTCATATCCAGTGGCATATTTCATGTGAAGCGTCATATCCTTTATTTAGAAGCGTCATATCAAGTGGCATATTTATGTGAAAAAAAGAAAAAAGAAACCCTCACATGATTCGCTGAAGAGTTGATATTAAACCTTCTGCTTTAATTATTTGGTAAGAACAGTTTTAGATTCAGAAGCACATAAAAAAATCCAACAGATTCCATTATCGAATGATATTATACGATCGCGAATACAAGATCTCAGTGAAGATATTTAATGCAAGTATTGAAGACATAAAAATCAGTCCACTAAAAATAAGCATGCAACTGGATGAGTCAACTGATGTTGATAATTGTAGCCAACTTTTGGTATTTGTCAGGTATGTGAAGGAAAAAGAGGTGATAGAAGAATTTCTATTTTGTGAGCCACTGGAGGTGAATACAAGAGGAATTGATGTTTTCAATCACATCAAAGATTTTTTTACTAAATATCAATTACCAATGAATGTGATTGTCTCAATATGCACTGATGGAGCCCCAGCAGTGTTAGGCAAAAATTCAGGATTTTTTTCACACATGAAAAGAGAATTATCGGAAGTTATAATAAAGCATTGCATGTTGCATCGTCATGCACTTGCATCAAAAGCATTGCCAGAAAGTTTAAAATAACATCTAACTACAGCAGTAAATGTAGTAAAATACATTCGAGGGCAAACGCTTAATCATTGCATTTTTCATGCATTTTGCGAAGAAATCGGTGCTGATCATACCATGCTCCTATATCACAATACGATGGTTATCTAAGGGTCACATGCTTAACAGAGGTTTTGAATTTCGTGAGGAATTTATTCAATTACTGACTAGTCAAAACTGTTATTTAGTAAAAGATTTTTAGAGTAATGTTGCAATGCTGAGGCTGGCCTACTTAGCAGACATATTTAGCCATTTAAATGAATTGAATCTATCAATGCAAGGATTTGGTATAAATATAATAATATCTAGTGAAAAATTATCTTCATTTATCGCAAAATTAGAAATTTGGATACGTCGAGTAGAAAAGGGGAAATTTTGCAAACTTTCCCTTGCTTGATTCTGTTATTGCGAAAAATGAAAAGAATACAATTATACCCGACATTGTAATACATTTGAGCGAATCATTCAATGGATATTTTGCTACCGGAAATATTACCAAAACTCAGAGATGGATACTGGATCCATTTGTATTTGACTTAAATTAGATGGATGATAGTGATCTGAAAAAAGATCAACTTATTGAAATGCGAGCAAGTGGACATGTTCAAATGGAATTCGAACAATTAGCATTGCAACAATTCTGGTTTTCACAGTTACAACGTTATCCAGAGTTGGCGTTATCCAGAGTTTTCATCGCTTTTGCATATAAAAACTAAAGTGAGAAATCGTTTAAATGCAAGTGATGACTTACGCGTATGTCTTTCAAAAAAGGAACCTCTCTTTTCCAGTATAATAATGAACAAACAACAACAGACTAGTCATTAGTAAAAATAATATTGTTTTTTATTTATATAAAATGTACAATGTTTTTCAATAAACAATAAGTCTTGTAAAAAATGTATTTTTCTAGACTAAAAAAAAAATTTTTTTTTAATTTTTCAAAGGGGTGCAGAGATATATTTTCAGATTCAATGGGATGTGACTTGCTAGAAAGGTTAAGAAACACTGAATTAAACTGACAATCTAGAAAAAATCCCAAATCTAGAATCGCCAAAGTCCCAGCAAGTCCAGATCTCTGACTTTGTGCTGTATAATAAATGCAATGCAATATTAACTGTTTTTGTATGTTTGTATGTATGGTATGATTCAAAGTAAAGTTACTCTCTTCAGTACCTTCCTTCTCATCAAAGATTAACCAGTGGGAGAAAAATGCTTTGGTGTGTACATTTTTGAAATCATATGGAAAAGATATCTCAGAAGTTGTTGCTGCAGAATTACTAATGACTGCTGGAATAATTGTTACCTTTTATTATAAGCTAATCATTGTTAGAGTTAATATTAATTAATTTTATAAATTATTCACATTAGTAGTTTTAATATAATCATTGTTGTATTAAGCATTGCTTAACCTTGGATGATGATGTGAAGTTATCATAAATGGATGTTTATTATGGCTTTCAGAGAAATGGTTATTTCCTTATCCTATTATCTTCAATTCTGCCATTTAAAATGCTATTTCCTTATCCTATTATCCTTCAATTCTACCATTTAAAATGCTGTTTGATAGTTTCTGTTACTGCTGAACAGTTCTGAATGGTAGAATTCAGCTCATCTATTGTTATAATATAGCATTACAGTTATGGTATAATAATACTTTCCAGACATTGCAATTTCGGGCTGCAGTTATCCCACAAGAAACGTGTCAAGCATACATATTCAAATTTCAGACTTACTCTTCAAAATACCAAGAGTACTATTTTGAAAGAAACATGGATGATTATTATGGCAGACATTTTTGTTGGTTCTGGTAATCGGAGTAGTTTTTTACGTGACATGAATATTCTCATTAAATGATATAATTCAGTTCTGCTTTTTTTATGATTTCAAAATTTTGCATAGATGCAGATGTGCCTCAGTGCTGCATAAAATGTTTCGTGACCATTTTCTGCCATATTTCTGCATACAAAAAAGGAAAAGAAAAAAAAAAAAAAGTTTAAAGGTTGTTTTACCATGTAAGATGTTTTGTCTTCATTTAATTGCAACTAATTTTATAGAGATAAAAGTAAGATGCTTTGCAGTATGTTCTCCAAATGATGTGTACTGCAGTAGTAACTGTATAATTAAATTTTTAAATTAGAGATTATCACAGTTTTTGAATGCTGGCTGTTTTCATCTTATCTTTTATGAAATCCTCAGATTTATGAAGTATTTTTTTGCATCCTTTTTTGTGTATGCTTTCCTTAAAATATTGAAGTGATGTAGTCTAATCAGTGCAATAGAATCATTTTGCAAAGAAAGTGCAGCCAATCCGTATCAAAACTTACAATTATCATGCTCACTGAAGAGCGATATTGTACATTTCTGTGATGTTAATTTTGTGTGTTCACATAATACAAATTCTCCTCTTTACATCACTTGCTTTCTGCTTGCTTGCTTTAAAAATATGTTTTTGATATTTTTCTGTGCACATACTATTTATTCTATTCACCTTCTCATAATCTGTGTAGAATTTGTAAATAGATTAATTGAATTTATAAATAGTTAATCTCATTATTGTCACAGAATTTGACTGTATAGAATTTTGATAAAAAGTTGTCTCCATCTGAGTTAGTTTAATATTCTTACTTTCTTTTATCTAGAAAGAAAAATTCCATACACATTTGGCTGTTATGTACATGGATTCTGTTCTGCAAATCTTGAAATTTCCTGAACCAGAGCAGAGTGATTTAAATGATTCTAGGTATCTGTTCTAAAATAATCTTGAACTTTTTCTACGTTATTTTGTTATTGATAGATCTTTTTTTTTTAATGGCCAGGAGGTATATTTAATAGCCATTAATTAGCCTTGCACCACTACAGGGGCTGGAAGTGGTGGCTATTTCATCACAAAAGCGCCTAATAAGTAACCACCATAGCCTCCTGTGAAGGAACAGACAGTTACAACCATGTCTTCTCCGGAATTCGAACTGTGGCCCATCACTATGGCAGTCAGGGTCACTAACTACTATATGGGCTGGGCAGCTCTATTGTTAGATCGTTTAAATAGTCATTAAAGCTGGAGGAAGGATTTATGTATTCTTAGAAATTGTCACATGCCTTTGCCTTTCTAATAAAAAGGTTTTCCTTTTATTAATAAGCTCAATGTGTCAGATTTGTATGTGGAGCAAATGTGTATTAAATAACTTTTGCTATATATGTAATTGATTAAGATTTCAGCAATATGAATTCAAAAGTATAACTTTAGTATTAAAATTCATAAATAAGAGAGAGCAATCTTAAGAAAAACCCAGTCTAAAAGAAATTTACTTCATAATGATTTTGCAAAAAAGAATTTGACTGGTCATACTTTTATCATCAGGAAAAAGAGGAAAAAGTGAAATGTGAAAGTTGTTTTTATATTGCATTTTTGATATTAGAATGAAAATAAAATTTCAAGTATTAATTTGAATAATTATTATATGTATTTAATTTATAAAATATTAGAAATATATCTGTATTTTGCTGGTCTTTCTTCATTAATATATATGTGTGAGCTAGAATAATATCTGAGTTAAAATTCTAACTTTTAATTTGCAATAAGCCTTTAATTCTCTATTTTAATGTGAATAATTTCCCTTTCCATCCCTTACATAATACTGGTGACACAGATAATTTATGCTTTGAAACTCAAACAACTAATATTGGAACTTTTAATAGCCAATGAAAACCACCATTACAATTTTTTCTTTTAAAACTAATCCTTCATCATAGAATGCTAACCACAACTTTTTCTTTTTGAACTAAGCTTTCATTTTAGAATATGTCATATTTTGCTTAGAACATTCTATATTTTTGAAGATAATTTCAGCAGCAAGTTGTCTTCAAAATTATAAAAAGTTCTAGAACAGGTGTGCTTATGAGATCCACTTATTTATGTTGGCTTATTAAAATGTTTGGCTAGCAAGAATTAAAAGGTAGTAAATCTGGTTATGCCTGTAAGCCTTGTTCTCTTTGTATCTTCTACGGCATCAACTTAACCCCTTATTACATATATATGAAACAATTTACTACTTATTACATATATATGTGCACAGGAGGGAGTATCTAAAAGGTATCCTGCTTTGGGTGGAGAAACTATACTTCTTATGTAATGGGAGTGGTATCCTAATTCTCTTCAAAGTAGGCTCCTTGCACCTCCATGCATTTAGCACACTAAATCTTTCCATTGCCAAAAACACTTCTGGAAGGCTTCTTTTGAAATGGTGTTTATCTCCTCCATTGTGTTTTGCATTATTTCTTGTCTGTTCTCAAATGGAATCTTTCTCTTCAAACTGGACACCTTTCATTGTTTTCTTCAATTTTAGAAACAATCAGAAGGAGCCATGTCTGGAGAGAAGGGAGTTTGATGAATGACTGGAATTCCATGTTCACCAAGAAAATCTGGATCAAGTGGGGTGACTGTGTTGGAGCATTGTCATGATGCAGCTTTTAGTTTTTTTGCTATCAAGAGGTCAATTCTTTTGCATGGACTGCATTACAGAGTTGGCTACTGTTTGTCCTTCTAGTGCATATTCATGATGCACAGTTCTATGGATATTAAAGAATACAATTAGCATCTCCTTTATTTTGCTTCTCACCTGTAGCTTTTTTTTTTTTTTTTCCTTGGGGGGGGTCTCAGAATGCTTCCACTGCAACGACTGTGTTTTTGTTTCTGGGCCATATGCGTACACTCATGACTCATCTCCACTTATCACAATGCTCAGAAACTCAGTGCTGGTAGTGTTCAGCAGGTTCTGTGCAACCTCAAGATGGAATTATTTCTGTTCTGTCAACAATAGGTTGGGTGCACATTTCACAGCTATTCTGCCCATGTTCAAATCAGCACTCAAAATTACATATGCAGAATCTTTACTGGTCTCAGCCTCTTTGGCAATCTCTCATGTGGTCAAACAATAATCTTCCTTTATCAGATTTTCCACTCTCTGAACAACCACTGCATTCCAAGTGGTTTGTGGCCTCTCTGAATGCTTGTCACTTGTTACTGATGGGCAGTCATTTTTTAATTGGTTAAAACACTCTTTAATTTGTGTTGCCTCTATCTCCAAATATCTGATGAATCAAGCAAATTGTTTCACTTTGAGATCATCAAGTTTTGGACAAAATTTTATGCAGTATCTTTGCTCGACTCATTCTGTCATTTTAACTCATTATATCATCGAAAATTTAGCAGATGCATATAACAGCAGCACCTCATTTGACGGCAAGCAGACAGTGGCTGGAATGCTATGAAAAAATTCAAGCATGTTCATTAAGCTCTCTCCTGTCACTCGGAACAGTGATGCCACTGTAGCAACACTATTGTGCATGGGAAAATTCATATGTATAAATATTAAATATATGTAAAAAGTATATAGATAATAGTTATAATAATGTAATACATATATAAAAGTAACTATAATATTCTCATTTTATATTAATGAAATTGCATCACAAAATTATATTAGTGCATTTCTGAAAATAACACCTAAAATATTGGCAAATGTATTTTGGGAAATAAATTTTGCTTTCAACTCTTTAAAAGACACTGAGAGTCACCTTGTGAATACTGAAAAATAAATAGTAACTCTGTGCCACTTTTTCATAATTAATAATTTAAACCTATTTTTTAAATAAGTAGTGACGTTTGAGACATCCTGTGTATTGTAATTTTCAACAAATTATCATTTTACTTAAAGTGAAGGCATGTGAAAATTTTATCTGAGTAAAAGGAATTGTGATGCAGAATTTGAGAAACCATGCGGTAGAACAAGGGTGGGCAAAAGTGGCACATGCTGAAATATGTTTCTATAGCTTAATATGACTTGTTACAAAATTCTCTGCTATGACAATTGCATCCTTTTTGTACCTGGTTTTATACACAAACTACCAAAATTAGCATCATGGGTGCACACCAATTGTTACAGTGTATGTGCACTTATGAGTGATTATACTGTTGGCTTCCCTTAGCTGAAAACACTAAATATGCTGGAAAGCATGTGCATATACCAAAGAATGTAGTTCTATCACTTCTAGCAGCTTTAGTTTAGAAATTACACAATGAAATATGAATGTTGTCAAGAAGAAACTACTTGCTAGAAAGGGGAGCTTAAGGAAAGAACATTTCAACCCTAATTTTTCTTAATTAAAAATTAAACTAGGTGTTAAATCATTTGATGATTAGTAGGAACAAATTTTGTTTTCTACATATTTGGCAAAACTGCATATTGCTAGTAACCCAAACTATACTTCCTCTCTCTCTAAGCAAAGCAATAAAATAATCAGTTGCCGCTGATTGAAGAATAGAAAGCAATTGTTATGAGGCATTCTGCTCAATTCAAGCTTCATCATACACCCAAGCTCTTCTGTCTAAAAAATAATTGCTCTTTAAACTTGCCAGGTTCGGTAAGCGGCTGCTAAATGTATATACATGTTGAAGAGTTCAAGAAATCAGACATTTACAAATGGCTACTGCTTATAAGTAACTTGAATAACAGGAGGAAAGGCTAGTATTCTGTTGTCCTCAGATTGGTACAAAGTGTAGTAGCTCGGTGGGGATAGTGAGAACAGTAGTGGTACTTTAGCAATGAGTGCACAGTGTACTTTCTTAGTGTAAGCTTCAGATTTTATATGCACTATACATCTGAGTGTGCCAAACTCAGAATATTTGATATTAAATATAATAAAGTCAAATAATATTAGATTTTAAATAAAATGCAAGCTCTGAAGTGGAAAGCTTATGAGCAAAAACATTAATAATAATAAAAGCAGAAAATGAGAAATCTGGTAATGTTCCTTAAAACATTGTTTGTAACTTGGATTAACTATGGACCAATATTGTATATTGTTAATTAATATTTCTATACTATAAGTTGTAAGTTAAAATTCTAAAGAAAATGTATATAGTTTATTTCAAAGCTATTAAATAGTTGAATATGAGTATGCAATAATAACTAGATTTTGAAAATGTATAACTTGTTAACTTTTTATTTGATTTACAAGCTTCTCTTGATATTGATCTGCAAATGTGAAAGGATTTTGAATAGGAAAGATATTACAGATTTTTACAGAATCACACAGCAGTTGTTAAGTAACTTCCTTCTACAGATAAATACTAGAAGGTAATTTTGGTTAGTTTGTAAAAATAGATTTGTATGAAAAAATTATAGGAACAACTGTAAAAAGGTATTTTTTCTTAATTCTTTTGAGCAAGGTCTAATGAAAACTACTTGATTGATAGCTCAAGGTCATCATTATCACATGATCTAATGGGCTCACCTGTATGCAGAAATGTGCATACTTTTGCACCTGTCCTTTTGAAATATATGGAAAGAAATTCAAGGGGATGCTTCAGATTCTAATTTTAAGACTTGTACGAGTAGTTGAATAACATTTTTATGTGAGGCAAGTTGAATATTTTTTTGATAATGAGTTTAATGGATTGTAAGAAATGGTGTACGATGCGGAGAAAGCAAGCTGGACTGACACTGATAATGTTTGCAAAGACCTAACACAGGTCTGTAAGGATCTAAAAGTAACTAAAAGCATTATGTCAGAGCACTTCAAAAAGACTGTTGATGTATGCAAACAACCAGGAAACTATGCCAGAACAGATTCTGAGATTCATTGCTTGCCAATGAATAGACAACTACTATCAGCCTAGTTTGTAAAAGAATTCACTGCAACTACAGAAACTGATTTTCTAGTTATAATGTGAGTGATAGACTGTATAAAAGTGGACAATGTAAGGATATCAATAATTTGTGCCCACTAACTTGAGCTGCAGAATTCACCAGTTGCAAAGATTATTATTGGAGTATTATTATTGGAGCTGAATCTCATTTTTGTTTAGAGAGTGATTCTAGATGTGTTACAATGTGGAGTGAGCAAAATTGTAGAGACATTAGGTTATTTAGAAACAGGAGAGATGAAAAATGAGCAATGCCCTCACTGGGACTCGAACCACAGATCTCTCGAATATGTGCCGAATGTGCTTACCACTACACCACGAAGGCATGCTAAGAAGGGAGAAATACCTTATATACTACCCTTTATAAAGGGCAACTGGGGATTAGGGGACCCAATCGCCGAATCCTGGTGGTGGAGAAGCATAAGCTTTTAGTTCGGGCACCACTGTAGAGACATTAGGTTATTTAGTAGCAGGAGAGATGAAAAATGAATAATACCCTCGCTAGGACTCAAACTGTGGACCTCTCAAAAGAGCGCCATTTGTGCTGACCACTACACCATGAAGGCATGCTAAGAAGGAGGGAGAAATACCATATAAAATAATCTAAAAGCATATAATGTAATGCACGTAAACGTATTCATTGAAGGCATTGATACAAAGGTGATGGATTCATAGTATAGGCAGATATCTTTTTGGAAAACCACATATACCTAAACATTTTCACCAGTGCATCTATAAATCCATATGTCAAGTTTTGGAGTGTAATCGATAATAACTTCAATACTAATAGATGATAATGCTTGTCTCTGTTGTGCTGCATTAGTTACTGATTACTTTAAGAATGAAGGAATTCTCCAAATGAAGTGACCTTTGTATTCTGTGCAGTTAAATTATGACTCTTGAAAGAAAAATACTCTGAAAAATATATGGGAAAAATATATGGCCCAGTTAGAGAAAGTAATGGATGGAGAATTTTGTTTAACCATGTAATCTATAGAAGATACAAATAACTTGATAATGCCTGAGTCATCAAATCTTATCGTATCAGGTGGCTTGGACATATTTTTAGATGTGACAACTTGAACCATGTTAAAAAGGTGACCTTTGTAAGTGTAGATGGTACCAGGAAAAGAAGAAGACCTCGCGCAAGATGGATAGACTATGTGGATCTCAAGACTTTAAGTCATCGGCAGATCGTAGTGGCTGATTAAATCCTTCAGAGGAAGCCTGTTGAGACGACCTTTTCCTGTAATAGGCTGTAGTAAAAATGAAGAAGAAATTTTGGTAGAAAAGTGCGGATGTAGAAGGCAGCCTGTGAGCATCATTGCAGTCTTTACATTTTGCTATTGCAGGAACTCATGTAAGTTTAATACATAGCATAGAAAATCACAATAAAACTTGCATTTTGTTGTGGGGTGACCACATATCTTATTAATTTTTCCTAAAAAGTTTCTTTAAAAAGGTGTAATATCAACTTGCAATTCTGCATTTAAAAAATATCTCCTGCACGAAAAAATTAAAATCTTATGCAAATTCCATGTTCTTAGCTGCAAAATCATTCAAGTAACTTTTTTTTTTTTTTTTTTTTTTTTTTTTTTATTTCTGTAATTACTAGTGTAGCTGCTTGGTACTTTTTTGAACTTTGTGCTTCTTCCAATTTGGTATTTATCTCATTGTATTCACTTATCTATGATAATTAAATTTTATCTATTATCTATAATATAATGTAATAGATATTTATAATATAATACGAGGGCGTATTCGGAAACTAAGTACCGTTTTGAAAAAAAAAAAAAGAAAGAAAAAATAGTAAAACAATTTTTTTCGAATCCAATTTATTTTTACATGAAAATACATGTCTTAAACTATTTTTCAACATAGTTTCCGCCAATGATCAAACACTTGTCATAGCGGGTGACCAGTTTTTGTATACCATCGTCAAAGAAACTTCCCGCCAGTTTCGATAACCACGACTCCACAGCATTTTTCGTGTCATCGTCAGATCCAAAGCGCTTGCCACCAAGCTCGCGCTTCATGTGCAGGAACAAGTGATAGTCGGACGGCGCCAAGTCCGGGCTGTACGGCGGGTGATCGAACTGCTCCCAATGAAACTGTCGAATTAACGATTGAGTGACACCAGCAGTATGGGGCCGAGCATTGTCATGGAGCAACACAATTCCTTTACTGAGCATTCCTCTTCGTTTGTTTTGAATGGCACGCCTTAGTTTTGTTAAAGTCTCACAATATCGTGCCGCATTAATGGTTTCACCTCTGGGAAGAAATTCAGTAAGCAAAACGCCTTTCCTATCCCAGAAGACAGTGCACATGATTTTTTGTGATGACATTGTCACTTTGAACTTTTGTTTTTTTCGGAGAATGAGTGTGTCTCCACTCCATCGATTGTTGTTTTCGATTCTGGTGGGTGAAATGACACACCCAAGTTTCATCACCTGTCACAATTTGGTTTAAAAAGTTTTCTCCCTCATCACTGTACCGCGTGAGAAATGTCAGGGCACTACCAAGTCGCTTTGTTTTGTGAACATCAGTGAGCATTTTTGGAACCCATCGGGAACACAGTTTGCGATAATTCAAGCGGTCAGACACAATTTCGAACAAAACAGTACGTGAAATTTGTGGAAATGCCTCTGAAAGAGTTGTCATTGTGAAGCGTCTGTTCTCATGAATTGCTTCATCAACTTTCCTTACCAAATCATCGGTGACAACAGAAGGCCGACCACTCCGAGCCTCGGCGTGGACATTTGTTCGACCTGCATTAAACATTCTTACCCACTTTCTCACCATTCCATCACTTATCGCGTATTCACCGTAAACTTCTGTCACTTGACGATAAAATTTCGGCCGGTTTTTAACATTCCTCGCGTTCAAAAATTTAATCACGGCGCGAATCTCACAGTCAGCGGGAGAACTAATTGTATTAAACATTTTGAATGTGCACAGCAAACTGAAAACACAACATAGAGCAACCAAAATGGTGACAATTGAAAGTCAGTGAACAAGAAAGACTAGTGCGCATGCACGGGATGCCTACCACAGTGCTGTGACGGCACTAGAATGAAACGGTACTTAGTTTCCGAATACGCTACGTATAATAGATATTTTATCTTGAATAATATTTTATCCATTATATTTTATCTTGAAATTTTTAGCAATGTAGTTATGATGAATGCTGTTTTTTTCAACTTTTTGTAATGAAAAGCCTACCTGATTAATTATGTTATATTTAAATTTTACTTTGTCTCACTTAATATTTTTGATAAAAGAAGTATCTTTTAACTTTTTATAATGCTGTAAATTTTATTTTAAAGGAAAAGACTTCAGCATTTTTTGCATTTATCGTCATTGTATAGAGTTCAGTTACTGCTGGGTAAAGCTATAGAAAATGATCTCCACCAAGAGTGTGCAATTCTATATGGAAAGGTGTGTTGAAACTCTTCCGTAATATTTTTATATTCTAAGGGAAACGGTATGTAATCAGCAGAAATTTTTCTGCTTAAGCAGTTCTCTGAATAATAAAATGCAGTACTGTTCTGTTATCAGGACTGGATTCAGAAATGTATGCATGTATGTTTGTGCATATATGTATATATGATAATTCCGGAAGCATAGAAGAGGAATTAGCTTACAGTCATTGTAGTGAGGGTGAAGCTTACAGATGAAGATACCAAAACATGAACTTGACGAATTTCCAGTCTTTATTTCCATGCATATAAAATCATCTCCATAGATGTTTATCCAATCATAATGCAGTATGATAAATTACCATGTACATTGATTCTTAAAAATAAGATGTAGACATTTTAGATAAGGAAGCAAAGTGAGGAGATATTAGAAAGTAGAAGCTAGCAGGACATAATTATCTGCCATACCAAGTTTGATGTACAAGTGCAGATAATCTATGATTCGTTAGTTAGTAGCGTTCCATAACATAGAAAAATCTCGAATTTGGGAGAACAGATGAATTCAAGGGGATAGCACCAAATTTAGAATGCCAATTTTGAGGTCGCCAATTATTTTTTAAAACAGCTATCGTATTTTGTTATATCTTGCATATCATAAACAGCTATCGTATTTTGTTATATCTTACATGTTATAAACCGCTATAATATTTTGTTATATCTTACATATTACATAGCTGTTTTAAAAAAAAATTGGCTATCTCAAAATTGACATTCTAAATATGGTGCTCTTCCCCTGAATTCATCTGTGTTCCCAAATTTGAGATTTTTCTACGTTATGCACTATTAACTAACCAGTCATAGATTAGCTATATTTGTACATCAAACTTGGTATAAATACTCCTGGCAGCTAAATTACGTCACTTCTGCTAGCTTCAGGGCCCTTTCTGGCAAGGGTGCAGGACGTAAAAGTATGCAGGCGACAAAAATCAGGGGCAGTCGGACTCTCGCAATACGACTAAATATTTTTTTTAATTCATTGTAAGTACTTATCATATGTAAGTACATTTTATACAATTTGTCACATATAAGTATTTAGTGAGTATGAAATAAAACTTTTATAAATCGTTAAGCTTTTTTTTTTATTATTATTATTTGGGGGTGGCATTCTGAGGAAAGTACACTGGCAGCCAATGACCTAGGAACGGTTCTGGCTAGCTTCTAACTTGCTAATATCTCCTCGCTTTGCTTCCCCGTCTAAAACGCCTGCACCTTAATTTTAAGAATCAATGTACACTGCTAAAAAAAAAAAAAAAAAAAATGGGACAGTGCTATATCTCCCGTTCTACTGGGCCGATTGACAAAATTCAAACTGCATTTTTCATGTCTCAAAAGCATGACTTAGGATATATATTAGATTTATATATAGCACTATTCTAACGTAGGTATTTTGACACAAAATTGGACTTTTTCTGAAATAACATACCAATTTTTTTTCCATATTTCGATTCTATGACTCAAATCATGCCAGAATACCAAGTTTTGTAAAAATCGTACGAGTAGTTTTTAAAATATTAGCTCTCAAAATTTTAGCTCCTCAATGTTAATTGAATTTGGCAAATATTTATTAATATCTCTTTTTTTATTAAAACCTTTTTGATTTTTCCTTTCACATTTTGAAATTTAGGTTCATTCCAAATAAAATTTACCCATTTTTTGTGTTTTATTTTTTAAATTTCTATTTTTAAATAATTTTTTATAAATTTTTCGAAAAAAAATTTTTGAATTTATAACCTATAAAAGTTTTACCATCATCTTAAAGTAGGTGTATTTTTAGCATAACTGCAAAAAATTAGACTTTTTTATTCAAAACTTTCTAAGATATACACGAATTTACATATTTTCGCGTTTTTGAATTTGGCATCTTTTTTTGAGCGATAATAATAAACGCCAAATGTGGTTTATGGATTTTTGTTACAGTGAATTGCCACAGCTATTTTTAACTTTAAATTTCAAGTAAAATTTTACAGAGAATTAATAATATAATATTGTTTCTCTCAAAGATGCGTAATAAATATTTATTAATACTATATGAAAAGCTATTTTTTTTTTAATTATAGATGATATTATTCAAATTTTTAACTATTTTTTTAATTTCTCTTTCTTCCTTTTTAAAAAAAAATAAGAGTAAATTTTTGTAAGAGTAAATTTTTTTTTTTTTATCGTCTGCTACTTTACTTTAACTTCGCTTAAATTCGAATTGTCTAAAACTGAGAATTTTCGTTTGATTTTATTTGAATTTATATGAAATATTTTTATGACATTAACTGCATAATTTAATTCTAAACAAACTGTTGCTTATGAAGTGGCTGAAAGAGCGGCTGATACTATCATCCATATTTTTAAATCACAGTATATTTTTATAGAAGCATAAGATTTAGAATAATCATTTTTATATAACTCAAATTATGATATAAACATACAACCCTCTAGAGACTGAATTAGTGGAAGTTCAAGTGTTTATGTAGAAATGATCTGCAGCTACTTAATGGCTGGATAAGTCAGGCAGCTTCTGTGGACATCCAGTAAGAATTCTAATTTATATGTAAACGACCCACAGACATTCTGGATCCTCAATTAACTACGGAGGTATACGATGTAATTATTATGGTATTAATAAATCCTTCTTATAAAGTAACTGCAAATATTTCAAAAAACTTTCTGTCTGAATGCAAATATTTTTCTATGCAAATATCTTTAATTTTATATTAATCAAGATTGCACACGATATTATTTATTTACACTTCAATTTTTACCGTCAACTCTAGTAGAAGTTACAAATCAATTATATTTAATTAAGGATTGAATTGGATTGGATGGATTATTTAATTATGGCAAAGCACACGAGGGCTATCTGCCTAAAGGGAGGGATGCTTTCGTGGAGGACTTTCTAAGGGAAACTGGCTGGTATACACGTTACACATGGGGAAATCCACGAAAATGCCCATGCAACCAGCCCGTTAGCAGGATTCGAACCTCGGACCGAACTACCAGTGTTCAGCGTCTTTACTGCTCGGCCGCTGGTGGGCTATTTAATTAAAGAATGACCATCTACGTTTAGAAACAGCGTACCGTAACAGCAATTCAATTATTTCATGTTACTCCCGATTGGCAAGCTACATGATTTTTAATGAGTATTCGAGTTTTGCTAGTAACTTCACTTGGAAATAGCGCTTAAACTAAGTTAGTTGGTTATTTGAACATAGAAACAACATGGGAGCTATTTGATTAAAATGCTTTCATAGAGAACCTTTGTAAGGAGAACATAGAAAACTATGAAAACCAATTCTGCAGCCTGGGTTAGACGTCGCAACAAACAATTAGTATTTAACAATCTTCAAATGCTAGGCAACTGATGAGGCTCCAAGTAAATCTCCAATTTAATATTTTATTTGTAAATATTCAAAAAAAATATTGTTGTATTCCTAGACACAAAAAGCAGAATTTTTGTTATTTCGTTAGTTAACTACCAAGCCATAGTGCAACTGAATATTCAATTTCTTTTGCAATAATTGTATTCACTTAATATTCTTGGAATATGAGCTAAAGAAGGAATGTTCTCCTAAGATTAAAGAAGTGTTTAAATCCAGTGATATTAGGTTTGTCTTACAAGCTCAGGATCAAAACGATTCTGCAATTGCCGAGTAGTTGACTTGTAAATGGCTCTTAATTAAGCAGATGACTTTTAATCTTACATGCTATTCAGTCAGAAAACGTATGTTCTAAATGTTTTGTATTGCATGAGAATGCCTCTTTTCACAATTCAGTAACCAATCGGAGAACCGCTTGTGTTCTGAAAATAAGTATGTGTACTTAATCGCCCTGCATGTTCTTCAAATTTGACTTCTTCGTGATTTTTTTTTTCTTTTCCAAAAACTAAAGTTGCCTCTCAAAGGAAAGTTTTTTTGACATTTGAAGAGACAAAAGGAGTATGACATCTACTTTTAGAGGCAATGTCAAAAACAGATCTCTACAAGCCTTCTCTTCCATTACATGTTGTGCAGTCAGACAAAAAGTTGCATCAGTGAAAATTCTATAATCTATTTTTATTACACTCTGATTACATTATTAACATACAGTGAATATATGCTAAATCTTTTACTTCAGCTTAAGTAATTCAGAATTCTTGACGGCATTGTTGTCAGAAGTAGGACTTAGAAATAAGTCAAATTAAATATTTCGATAACCCAATAAATTCAAGGTCGAAGTTTCAATATTTGATTTTTTGGAGGGGAGGGGGAAATTTTTCATTTTGGTCCATTACCCTAAGTATATTTGCTTCGATTCTTTATTTTTCCAAATAAAAGCAAAAAATTTACGCATGGTATACATATAACGCATAGCTTCAAATTAAAATTTAATAATAAACAGAGTAGTTATAATTAAAGTTCCACATTGAAACTGTCATAAAAGGAAAACTGGAAAACTACTGGATCAAATGTTATCAAATTTGGTAATCGTGTAAAGGAGGTCATGGGAATTTATTTTCCGCGAAAAAAGGAAGTTCAAAACCTCACATCCAGGACAAAATGGCGCTGTATACAATATTGTTAAACGAAATATGGGTCGGAATCTAACTTAACCTTTTGTTACACGAGTTTAATATGTTGTATACCCTTAAGAAACTTTGAATAAAGCAATATATCATTTAAGGCGTTAAATTCGATAATAAACGTCGAGTGCGCCATCCGTTTTGTAAGTGAGAAATTCGTCCGTGAAAGCCACGAATTAGCGATTAGAAAATGTGAGATCGCAAAAATCACTCGCGCAAGTGCGTACAATCTGGAAATCGTTTTCTGACAGATCGCTAATTTGTAATTTTTGAACCCTGAATTCGGCCCTAAAACATGAAGACACTGATTCAAAACGCTTTTAATCGATTTGGGCAAAAGAAGTCCCTCATGCTATCTACCTAGTTCCATTGCATTCTCCTACTGCATTCGATTGCACAGCAGTCATTCC